TTCCTTTACTGAATTTATAAGTAATATCTGTTTTAAGTCATTGACAAAAGAAGTCAATGTTTCAATGAAAAGAAAAAACGCTTCTCAATTTGTTTAAAAACACTGTTTCCTTGTTGCAGCTAACATGACAGTTCATTTTGATTTATCAACTATAGGTTACAGATTCGACATCCTTCTGGCTTTGGCTTGAAAAGGACGCAATTCCCTTCCTTTTCAATAACACGTGGTATAACGGAATGGTATTTGAAGGTCCTGAGGGCTTTTTGAGTAATAGGGAGATGTTTCTGATTGGGATGCCTCGACTCAGGCAATTACGTGTTAAGTCAGGTAAAGATTATTTATAAAATAGAACGAGACATAAAGTGAACTATGAACTGATACCAAATAGTTTAATAGTCTCCTTCACGGATACCTGTGCCATCTTGAAAGGTAGCCGTGCCTTTGCATCGAAGCGAGACAACCGTTGAGCGCGCAATGATAGATACCTGTGAATAATTGTCTATAGGTGTGAAAGAAGGTTTCTATCATTGCACGCACGGTTGTGTCGCTTCGATGACAAGGCACGGCTACCTTTCAAGATGGCACAGGTAACCGTGAAGGAGAGTATTGTTTTTAGCATTCACCAGTGCAAATGTTTAATTACGAATATGCCACGAATATGAGTTCAATGGTTAACTACTAGCGGATCTTAATTGTGCACCCTTAAAGGGACACTGTCAATGGATGACATGCGCAGTAACAGTCTTGCCTCTAATGGACTTTGAAGGTATTACCTTCGAGGGTAAATTAATGTTTTGACACACTTTGGAATATTCTAGATCTGTTTACGTTTACGAGTACTTTATTTGTCATGCGTCGCACCAACGGAGTCGTAAACTTGAAAACATTAGCCTAATCTTTTCAAGTTTACTCGCGCATGCGTGCCATTGACAGTGTCCCTTTAATGCTATAAAGCAAACCTCAGCGTTCAAAGTGTTTATTAGGAAATGATTGTAGGTTGGTATTTTTGAAAACTTTAATGTTCCGACGTTTCGACTGAGATGCTACGCGTCTTTCATCTGCAGTGCTTTTTTTTAATTTTCAGATAATTCCTGCTTGTCTGAAACACCAAGACAACTGCAGCATTTTTTCACATCCTGCCTTCAAGAGTACAATATATTAACAGAGGACAAAACCCAGTACAGCCTTCCAGGTTGGCAGCGTCCTCCAATCGACTTGGACGTCAATTCTTCAGAGGAATTAATCGACAATTATTGCCCAAAACCTTGGAGGTACTCTAGTTTCAAATCTATCCAGACATTGCCATATATGGGAGATAATGTTTTATATGGAGGGGGAGGCTTTGTTGCTGATTTGGGCTACAGTATTACAACGGCATTAAGCGTTGCAAGTAGCTTAAAGGAAAATAATTGGATTGATGACAGCACAGCAGCAGTGTTCGTTGAGTTCACTGTATTCAGTCCAACTACAATGCTGTTCAGTTCTGTAAAGCTACTATTTGAGAGATTTCCCTACGTAGCAACGACCACTTCATTGCGTATCAACACTTTTAATGTTTATCCAACAACCAATAAAACATTCCTACAGCTTTGCCAGTTCTTTCTAATGATAATGATCATCATTGCTATTG